TTTAGGGTTCGTGTCCCATTCTTTCAAGATGCAAAAAGTCTAGACTGAGTTGGTATTCTGTTTATGAACCTTTTGTTTCTTAATATATCTGGTTGCTTTTCAAAAAAATTAGAAATTTCTCGTTTTTCTTTCTATTTTAAGACTGATTTAATATAACTGTTGGAGTTTGCTGTTTTGTTTTGCTCTTGTTTGGGTTTAAATCCAATTTGTGTCATTTTCCTTCGTTATTATATTTGGGCAAATTGAATGAAAAAAATAACGTACTTTAACTTGATTTATATTCTGGGTAACGTACTTTCAAAACTTCCATTTTGGTACCTAAGATGTCAAGTTTTAAACATTTAAGTACCCGACTACCATATCATTCGCCACATCAGCATGGTAACCAGTTAATGCTTCACATCAGCATGGTAAACATTTAAGTACCAAAATGGAAGTTTTGAAAGTATGTTAGCCAAAATAGGAATCAAGTTAAAATACGTTACTTTTTCACTCAATTTGCCCAAAACAAATTAAAGAACTAACCAACTTGCCAATAACGATTATAGGAAAAAAGATATATATATTTGTTTCTTATAATCAAATGGTGAGGTCCGTCTCTGTTATTAAGATATCCCTTGAACACTGTTTGGCGATCATAACAAGTGCGTTCAGTTCAAAATGCATTTCAAGCTCTTAATTTTTTTACGATAACACAGATAAAGATACCATCATATTTTTCCGATTACATATTTGAACAAAAATATAAATCATTAATTGACGTCGTCGTTGGAACTACCCAACATTTTCCTTGATCAACGATGTGGGATTTGCCACCACTTCAACGACTCATTATGCTCGAGGAGGTGTGCCACCACCATCTTGATGGTATAACGATCGACTCTAATATACATAAATACATAATAATGAAAATTATTTGTAAAATACGTTATGAAACTTGTACAAAGTTATAGTCCTTACGCTTTATCAATATGGTACGAGTTACAATCACATCAAGATTTGATGATACATGAACAAAACGGTACATGGTCGTTAAAAATTTACAAAGGTCTTGGTTTTTTTTAAAAGCTCTTATCAGTTTCTTATGTCTGAATCGGTAAGAGGTAATTAAGTCAATTCAGACTGTTTGTTTGTTTTTTTTTTTTTTGTCAAATTTTCAGAGACACTTATGTTTTACCTTTATCTTATTTGGTAAGAGATAAACCAACAACTTATTTGTCTTTTATTTTTCTCCAGGCCCTCAATCAGGCGTTTCTCAATCATTTTGTCTCTCTCAATTGATTAATCTTAAAATTGTAAAAATGTATATAAATTCAAAATTATAATATTTTGAAGGGTAAAATAGATAATTATACAAATTCAGACATATTTACAAAAAAAAAAGACAGTGTTATTGATTCTGCTTTCAGACTTCAGTTCAATTTCTTATCAATCAGAAATGAAATAAGACTTTCAGAATTCAATACCTTTTAGAAAACGAACACCACAAAATACTTTAACACTAAATGGAGTTGATGTATGTATACACACACACACATACACACACACACACACACATACACATATATATATATATATATATATATATATAAGAGCGATCAAATGAAAACCACTCCAATTTGTAAAAACCGTAAAAACTACTCTCATCCATCGTTAATCTTATGAAATTTTTTTTATTAAATTGTTTCATATAATACTTTTTTTGATGAAGTTGTTTCATATGTGATTATGAAATTGTTTCATATACTACTTAATGAAATTGTTTCATGTATTTCTTTAAAATTAAAATAATGAAGATGATAATATCCATGATTAACACCCTCCACAATAAAAATGGTTAATCAACCTCTCATAATTACAAAAAAATGAACAAAATGAAAAATTATGATTGGTTGAATAAGGTTTTCACGGTTTTTACAAATTGAATGGTTTTTATTTGAACCCACCCCTATATATATATATATATATATATATATATATATATATATATATGCCTAATCAAATGAGAATTGTTTTGTTTGTGATAACCGTGAGATTCAATCTCAACCACAAATCAAAGATTAAATTAGGAAATTAATAATTTTGATAATTTTAACTTAAAATATTAATTAAGGGCATTTTAGGGAGTTTATAAATATCTTCTCTCACATCTCATGCATTTTTCCTATCTCCGGCGAAATTTCATTCGATGAACCTTATGTGAACACAAGATATACACACTGTGATACCTACAAACGATATTCACTGTGATACCCAGATATATATACAAGATGCACAATGTGATACCTTTTGCAAAACAATAAAAATAATGAAAATGCACACTATGATACATTTCATAAAACAAAGAAAATACATTGTGATACACGTGAAATATTGTGAACGTTATCACTATGATACACCCTGATTCACAAATGTCTTTAAAATACGATGTATATTAGATAACTAATTTTAATTAAATATTTCTTTCTACAAAATTTAATCAAATATTTTGATTAGTTGTCAAAAATAATATTATTATTTACCCTTTTAGCTTATTTAAAAAACACCTTTAAATATCTCAAATAGAGTGATTCATATAATTGGATCTCTTGGTTACCAAAAACTAATCAGTTCTTTCTTAAATGAGTATATATATATATATATATATATATATATATAAGACTAATCAAATGAGAACTGATTAGTTTGTGGTAACTGTGAGGTCCAATTTCAACCACAAATCAACGGATAAATTAGGAAATTAATAATTATGGTAATTTAAGTTAAAATTATAATTAGAGGACATATCAAGTATTTTTAAAAAACTTCTCTCTCCTCTCTCCAACCTCCAATCTCCGGCCTCTAGTGAACATGAATCTGACATGTATCACAATATATCATAATGAATATCACATTGTGTATCTTTGTTTTTAAGGTTTGAGTTGGTATCATAGTTGGTATCACAATATATCACAATGATTATCACATTGTGTATCTTTGTTTTTAAGGTTTGAGTTGGTATCATAGTTGGTATCACAGTATATCACAATGTGTATCACATTGTGTATCTTTGTAATTACGGCAGGATTAATGTTCACCGGAGGCCGGAGATTGGAGGTCGGAGAGATGAGAGAAGAGAGAGAAGTTTTTAAAAAAATACCTAAACTGCCATCTAATTATAATTTTAACTCAAACTGTCATAATCATTAATTTTTTAATTTATTCGATGATTTGTGGTTGAGATTGGATCTTACAATTACCACAAATTAATCCGTTCTTCCTTAAATGAGCATATATATATATATATATATGTATATATGTATGGGGGTGTAGTTAATGTGGTCTTCCATTATTGCTCATGAGTTTGCATTAAAGATGAACCAGACTTAAAAGCAAAAGAAAGAACAAATGATAAGGTCTCGTAATGCCCTTTTCAATTCATTGTCCTTCAACATTAATTATTTATTTATTTTTTAAAGAAAAAAAACCTAATTATTATATATATATATATATATATATATATTTCTTGTAATTAATTAATTTCAATTAAATTATAAATAATAATAATAAAAAATAACATTAAAAATCTCTTCATCAAATCGTTCTTACCATATTCCTTTTTCAATTTGATCATGATTATGAAAGTAGTAACAAATATTTGATTGATATTTACTTTTATTAAAGTATTTAATTAAGAAATTTATACAAGTTTATTGATATTTTTGTCAATATTCCCAAGTTTTTTATGGTTACACGATGTTGTCTCTTAATCAATGGTTTCGTTTTCTTTACTACAACCGTTCGTCTACCATTTTCATCATATAAACGACTTCAAAACCGACAAATAAATTTTAGCCTTGATCAAAATATCGGCAAACAATAATTGAATTGATCAAAACTATAATTAATATATATATATATATATATAGAGAGAGAGAGAGAGAGAGAGAGAGAGAGAGATAAATGAAGTGTCTTGCGAGAATAAGAGTTAAGATGAGAAACGTAAGAAAGAATCCGAACTCTTAATCACTTTTAATCTCAGCCCCACTCCATGAATTGCGTTTGATATGATAATTGCTTGGGTGCATCTCATTTATGTTGATTTTCATTTATGATTAATCCAAAGTGAAGATCCCTTCTTACTTTTGTCACCATAACTTCTATTCTCATCAAAACCCAACCTTGTATATATATATATGTAACAAGGGTTGGGTTCACGTTATACCAGTCTGTCCTCATGAAACCCGTTCACAAAATAACACTAAAATTTATAGCAAAAATCTGTAAAAGTAAAGAAAAAACTCCAAACCTTCACAACAACAAACACTTTAAAGGTTTACCTTTACAGTGTTCTGATGTGAAAGTTCAGAGCTTGTACACTATGAAGATTCACCTTTACATCATTTTACTGTAAAGGTTCAATATTATTTAAATGGTTTCACGAAAACAGTATGGTCTCACATGATCCCAAATCTACATATGAGTAATTAATTAATCACTTTAATTAAAACATGACATCACATGGACAAAGACCTCAAAAGAATGAAATTTGGATTTAACCCATTGGGTTTTATATTGAAGAGAAAGAAAGAATGATGTTTGAGTTGAGTCTTCTGTGTTTAACCACATGACATTCTTTCTACACTTTGCTTCTGATTTAGCATCAATCAGTAAATGGGTAGCCTATCTTCATATGCTTCTTAACTTGTAGCCAAATTTGTACCCAAAGTCCCCACCTACCTACAACACCTACTTTCTCTACATATTCACACACACTCAGTGTGTTTTTGGTGTGTGTATATACCATAATTAAGAGAGATATATATAATCATATATATATATATATATATATATATCTCAAGAACATGCAAGGAAACAGTAATTATATTTCTGTTTTTCATATGGGAATAACATCAGAAGCATATATCATTGTCTCCTCTGAATTAAAGGCCCTAAATCTAGCAATATTTAGGTTTACTGATCACTTATTCCTGCTCTAAAAACACACATATTAACATTGATTAATTAGTCACATTATATATACTTCTTACCTTGCTTACCACAAACTGTGGCAACACCAATGATGGCGGTGAAGACGACAGAAAATTTGGCACGAAAGTCTCGAGGTACTCCGTTTGAGAACTTGTAGGCGTGTGCAACTCGTTTGAGTTCGCAATCGGTTGGCTCAATTCGACATCGCCAAGTTTAAATGGGATTTCCGGATGATGGTTATGATGATGGTCCGAATTTTGGCCAAGGATGAGGTCATAATTCTCCGGTTTCAGGATGTTATGATCATAGGAGTTCAAGAATTCCATTGTGGGGAATTGATGGTCGAATTCCGGAGATGGATTGACGGTGAACGATGGAGGAAGGGGAGGGAGAATAGGGCTAGGATCAATACCGACGAAGCATTTATCAAGATTGATCAACGGTGGTTGGGTGGCGGCGGGTGGCGGTGGTGTGTGGACATGACGATGATCTTGATCGTCATGAATCATATGGGGTTGATATGGGTTGATCACATTAGGGTTGGCATCAAACAAACCCTCATAATATTGATGATCACCACTTAAAGAAACATGAATGTTGGTGGCTTTAGGGTTAGGAAAGGTGGTGGTGGTGGTGGTAGCAGTAGCAAGAGCATGATTAGATAGGTGGTGGTGGTGGGTATGAGCAAGAAGCTTCTTTTTTATGCTCGAATTCCAAAAATTCTTGACCTCGTTATCCGTCCTTCCTGGTAAATGTTTCGCTATTTGTGCCCATCTGTCACCGTTTATTCGAAACGTACAATGAATTATCAACAAAATGTAACATAAATTCATGTATCGAACAAATTAAAACTCGTATCTTCGTTGTAAACCTGTTTCCGAGAATTCGGTGTAGGTCGACTATAAGACTCGCTTCTTGCGAAGAAAAGCTCCCTCGTTTCAAATCCGGCCTTAGATAATTAATCCATCTTAACCTGCAACTTTTGCCACATCTTTGGAGCCCTAAAAATATATATAAACCATAAAAGATTAACATGTTATTGATTCACAAAAACTCCCACAAATTGAATTCAAACATATATATATATATATATATATATATATGTGTGTGTGTGTGTTTCATACAGAAACACAAAAGTACTTGTGTATAAGATATATATGCATGACGAGTGAAAGATTCAATTCTCATGTCATCAGGGAGAAAGATCACTGAGAAAATCTCTTCATACATGGATATATATATATATATATATATATATATATCTTGGGAGAGGGAGAGGGAGAGAGAGAGAGACCAGCAAGTTTAGGAACGGAGCTCCAGCAGCCATGGCCATGGGAAGTAATGTAGTTGATGAGTTTCTCATCTTCTTCAGGTGACCACAATCCTCTTTTCACTTTCTGTTTGTTGCAGCAAGTATGTCCCCCTCCATGTCCCATATCTCTCTCTCTCTCTCTCTTGAACTAATATGGTGAGTAGAAAGAAAAGTCAGCACAGCATCTGTATGTATGTATATATATATATATATAGAGAGAGAGAGAGAGAGAGAGAGAGAGAGAAACTCAGAGTTTTAATAATGATAAAAGTCAGATTGATGAGATGATGATATGAAACCGAGTCCAATACAAAAGAGAGGCTGTAAATAAGCAACAGGAGAGAGAGAGAGAGAGACAGAGAGGGGGCTGTCTGTGCCCTTATATTTGGGTCCTCTACTTTTGTCTTCTTATATAACAGTAACTTTTTTATCCATTCAATACATAGAGGTCGGTTATTATATAATTCTTGACATTTGTACAATTAATATAATCTAATCTTAACCGTCTATTTCATTTGATTAATATGTGATTTCATAAAAGTTTTGATTGTTTCTTAGCATAAAATGTTGATTATAATTAATGAATCATATTCATCTTCCATAAATATTCAAATCATAATAAATGAACACTCATCATTTCCATAAATATCTCAATTTATTGGATTGCATTGGTTGTACAAATACGATGAATTGTATTTAAACCAAACTCTCAATATATATATATATATATATATATATATATCAATGTTTTGAAGTGAGGTTCATAATCACTTGTCTTCAATATTTACATATTCGATCCAAAACTCATTTTCCTATGAAACCCTTGAAAACGGGTTTTGTCTGGAATATGATCATTTAGGTCAATTATAGAGAAATGTTTACGAGGTCAATTTAGTTCTGGAATATGATCATTTAGGTCAATTATCTATAGATTAAAAGCAAATTTTATTTATTTTATGTAAATAATAGTTTTAATACAAACACTTTAGATTGTCCAAAACTATATATATATATATATATATATATATATATATTGTTAATTAATTGGATGCTAATTGGATGCATAATTTAGTGTTTTTTCAGTGCTTGAATAAGATATATAAACTATAATATTAAACTGTATGTGAATTTAGTATCTGTATATGAAACATTTCCTATGACAGATGGCAAGGTTTTATTATAACTCTGTCAAAATAAAAAGCATATAGATAATATTAAGACAAATTATATGAAAAAATAACGTACTTTAACTTGACTCCTATTTTGAGTAACGTACTTTCAAAACTTTCATTTTTGTACTTAAGATGTAAAGTTTAAACATTTAAGTACCCGAATAATTAATCAGTTAATACTGTAACTTTGTGAAAAGAATTATGCAAGGCAGGCAAAATATAAATTATCCATTAATTAGTTATTATTACTATAAATTAAAGTTTAGTGTTTAAAACAGGAATTTGAGTAAAGTATATATGTGATGTTCTAAATAATTACTAATAATGACAAGAGGTGATGTGCTTGGAATAAAAAAGAAAATTATGACATCCACATCATTTAATTTTGGATTTAAATGTATACGTTGAAGGATTAATTGCATATTACTTAAAACTTAAGATTGTAAGTAAATTGTGTGTAAGTACAATTTAATAAAGTTTTATTTTTTAATTCGTATAACTAATTGCAGATAAACATAATCAAATACAGAATAAATATTTTCATTTTAAATATAAAAAATCTAAAATATAATTAGGATAATCATTATATTTATAAAATTTTATTGTTAAGCAAAAAATAAATTACTTCACTATTTGATCTAAATTAAATTATAATAAAAAATTAAATTAAAGAAATTGTACAAAAAAATGAAAACTTTTAGATAGTTAATTTGATATTAATATCGATATATACTTTTTGAAATTTATTTTTATTCAAAAGTAAAAACATTATCTTTCTCAAAACCGCATAAACCGTATTACATCAACATAAACAAAAAATAAAACGAAGCATTAAAATGAAAATGTATCTCGTTGCATTGTGCGAGTACCCTTCTAGTACATTACAATGTATTAAAGCTTTAACCATGAAAATAATGCAGATTACACGGTCAAAAGCGGGTGACAGTTGGCTATGGAGGTGATGGAACCAAACTCGTATTACTTTATTGAGGGTGATTGGTTGAAACTGGTTATGGCTAATTAATATTGCTCATTAAGTTAAACGTTTTGTATGGAGGAGATTCAGATTAATGGGTTGCCGGTTTGAGTAATTTGCAATCTTGTAGGATGACATGTCTTGTTGTTGTGCCTTTTGTGAGGAAAACTTGGAGATTACACGACGTCTATTCATAGATTTCCCTTTCGCTAAGCAGGTTTCGAGGGAGGCTGTACTTTGGGAGTTAATAGATGTGAAGGCTAGTCTCCGTTCTAATTAAGTTTTTGTTCCGCATCACTTAGTGCCAAATTCCTTATGATCCCATGATGCTCGTGGAGGCAGAGAAATCAATTGACGTGGAATACATATGGATTAGCAGCCCAAACGGTGTGTAATGTCTAAGAGGGGCATTGATGTTAGTTGAAGGCTAAAGCATTACAGGTTCACTCTGGGTTCTGTTGCGAGTTCGACTTCTTGTTCACTTTGGCACAAACCTCCCTTGGATTTTGTGAAGTGCAACACAAATGCTGCCATGTTAGATAACAACTCTTCTGTAGGGATAGCTGTTGTTTCAGGATGTCAATAGAACCTCTTCGACAACTCAAGCATCTACTCTATCATAGATTCCGTTAAACTTGATAGTTTGGAAGCTATCTCATGGGTAACCGACCTTAAACTTCAGAGGGTGATTTTTGAATCAGATGTCCAACAGGTTATCGCAATCATCAATTCTTCCAGAAATGATGGACATATGGTTTCAATGTGCTACACGGTAGTCCTTCAACATGACTCTTGCTCTAACTGTTTCATTAGACAACAAGTTATCAGGGTTATTCATACTCTAGCACAAACATGTCAATTCTCATCTTGTTTCACCTATTATATACTCACTCTATAAACATTATGCTTTTGAAAGCTCTTATTCTATTTTAAAAAAAAAAATAACCCACAAAATATTAATTTCATATAATTTTAAGACCATAAATTCATAAATAACCATGATTAAAAGGTTGTTTGTTTACCTCCTAATAATTCAACAAAGATGCAACATTTGAATCATTAAGAGACGAATCTTGTTTGACAAAAAAAAATCTACCTCTTAATGGTTCTAAAACCATCTGAATGATTTTGTATCATGAGCCCCTCTAAACCATTAAGCACCCTAATTTCATTGTAAACATTACCAAACCATTATATTTCATTTTTCACTATATCATGAGAACCTCTTAATCATTCTTCACTAAACCATTCAACAACTGTCAAACAGCCCCTAAAACTTTGATAAATTGTTTTTGTTTTTAGATCTAATTCTTTTTAATAATAATCTTAATTAATATTAAATAAATAAATAAATAATAAAGGGCATAGTGACTTTTCTTTTCAACAATATATAGGGGTCATGATGTTAAGTTTCATGCCAATATTCATATCATAATTGACCCTTTAAATTCTAATTTGGTGATTGCTTAATGCATCAATTTTCTGGTATGAGTTGTGATAATGTTTTGAGATAAATGATTTAATTTAATTTATTAGGTTTTTTTTAAATATATTTAATAATACATTTGTATTATTTATAATTTTTTTAAATAATACATACAAACATGTGAATTGACGATGATATAACGACATGTACCATCAACGTTTACGTGTTAATTCATATTTTCTGTTTATTTCAGTAATTGATTAATTTCGTAATTTAAATTCAGATTTGAATTCTACACTGAAATATAAACTAAATCATAATTTCTATAAGACAGATATAATTAATTAATTTTCCCAAAACCATATTCATGGTTATATCTATACTATATTATAAAGTATTTGACAAAAACTCTTAAAAACTATTTTTTATACATGAAATACTGTTTATCGATGCATATTACTTAAAATTTAAGATTACAAATAAATTGTGCACAAGTACAACTTATTAAAGCTCTATGTTTAAATTCGTGTAACAAAATACAGATAAACATAATCAAATACATGATAAATATCTCATTTTTAAATATAAAAAAATGAAATATAATTAGGATAATCATTAAGTTCTAACAAAATACTTAATTATTATATTTATAAAAAAATTATATTATTAAATTAAAAATAAATTACTTTGTTATTAAACCTAAATTAAATTATAATAAAAAAAATTGAATAAAATGATTACAAAAAAAAAAAAACAAGACTTTTAAATGGTTAATTTGATACTAATATCGATATATATTTTATTCAAAATTTTATGATATATTCAATTTTATATTTTATTCAAAACAAAACATTGTCGCTTTCTCAAAACACATAAAACCGTATTATATCAACATAAACAGAATAAAATGAAACATTAAAATAGAGATGTATCTCGCTACATTGCGCAAGTACCCTTCTAGTAATAAATAATCCTAAAGGATTTGAATTAGATCTTAAAAATCAGACCAGACGCTAACTTCTTTTATATATTCGAAAAACGTAAAAAACTACACATGGTTCTGTAAAATCAAAGAAATGTTACCTAATCAAACCAGATCGAATATAAATTTGTTTAACTAATAAACTTTGTCGAAACAAATATGCATAGTTGATACGTAGATGGTGTGAGCTAGGGTTTAATTACGTAACAGCCAAATCAGGTGCATTACTAGCAGGGGCGGAGACAGCGTATAAAAGGAAGGGGGAAAGGGACCACAGTCAAAAAGTTAAAAAAAATTACCTAGGTTAAAATTTAGTTTTTACATAATTTACCTTCAGTCCACCCCAGTAGAATTTTCTACAGGACCCCAGTCTATAAATTTACTGAATCCACCATTGATTACTAGCAACTTTTGCCAACAATTATCATAACATATTTTAACGATTCAAGACATATCAAAAGAATGTTGTCCAATCAGTTTACACGTATACATGTTCATATAGATCGTGTGTGTTTATAATATCTGTTTTTGTTGACAATACGAACTGTTCTAAACCAATTAAAAATTT